TTGTATTAAAATATATATCTAAATATTTTAATAAATTATTAAGTTCAAAATATATTTTAGAATTTGGATTATAATTTTTTAAATGTTTGTCAATAAATTTTTGAGCATTATTTAAACTAAATATTCAAATTAAATTTGTAAATTATAAGAACTTATAGTTTTAATATTCTTTTTTGATTTGCTTGATAATATTTTTGTTGCAATATCCTGTCTTTAAATCTATTTAATTTAAAAAAATATAGTTATTATTATAAAAATACTATAAATAATATAAAAATCAAATAATTCTTATTATTTATATTATTTGAACTTCTATATTCTGTTTATTTGTTAAATAATATAGTGTTTTAACAAAATCTTTATAAAGACTTTCATAAGTTTCAGTAGAAAACCTATTTAAAGAACCATATTTTCTAATTAGGGTTTAAAAATTCCGTGCACCTGCATGGTTGTGCACTCCCAAATCGACCAATAAAAACATGTCACATGACCAAGAAGACGGACATGCAGCCTGCCGACTTGTCAACTAGATCTACTGACTCATCAACCAATCAAATCATTGGAATTATAATATAAAATTTTCTTTTTTAATACAATTCCAATTTACAGTATATATAAAACTAGTTACGTAGAGTAATACGATAAGTTTTCGATATCAAATCACGAAGCATAGAAAGCTCACAATAAAAAGTTTACTTTGGACGAACTCGGCATTTCTTAAGTAAAATTTTATATAATTATTAATGCATAAATTTATTGAACACTTAGATCGGTTTACAAGTAATTGTTTAGACATTGAAAATCTGTCACAACAAGTCTTTCACACCCATTTTTCTTGTTTTAATGTTACGGCACAGTAAGTAATTTTTTTTTTTTATTTAAAGATCTAGTTTGGTTTTTGAGAAAAGCTTAGCAGGTGAACTTTTTCGAATATTGTTATAATAATGATAATCTTAGATAAGAAGGCACTTTATAAGACTGCTACATGGAATGCACTTTGCATGGCTGCCACACAGAATGCCTGCCACACAGGATGCACTTTGCTATCACACAGGATACACTTCACAAAACTGCACTTTGCAGGACTGCTACACAGGATGCACTTTGCAAGGCTGCCACACAGACTTCTAAGCACCTTAATAGCAAGGTTGGCAATAGAGTCCAATAGAGTTGCGAATGGAGCCAATAGATCTCTGAATGGAGTCAATGGGCATCAGTTTTTTAAGCACCATTAGCATAACCATTGAGCTCTATTGGCTTCATTGCCAACAATAATAATTTTTGATCAAAGTCAGATAGGAGATTCACCTTCAAGAATATTATATTGATTTAACACCATAACACCAACACTGACTTTTTTAATCAATTTAATAGGAAATCGCTTATCAAAAATTAGCAAAGATAGGGCACACTAGCAGAACATATAACGTTGGACGTCGTTACTATAAAGGAATTGGAGTTAAAAAAAGATGAACATAAGGCAATCATTTATTATCAAAATCGGCAGAAATAAGGCATGCTAGTAGAACATATAACGTTGAATACGGTGATGAGAATGGACTAGAGTTGAACAGGATGAATATAAGGGCAATCGCTTATTATCAAAAATTAGTATAATGTTGGATATTGTTATGATGAAGGAATTGATTTGTAAAGAATAAACATAAGGTAATCGCTTACTATCAAAAATCGGCAGAGATGAGGCACGCTAATAGAACATATAATGCTGGATGTTGTTATGATGAAGGAATTGGAGTTGAAAAGGATGAACGTAAAGCATTCATTAGTCATCAACAATTTGCATACTAGCGGAACATATAACGTTGGATGCTATCATGACGAAGGAATTGGAGTTAAGATAAATATAAGACAGCTTATTATCAAAAATCAGCAGAGATGGGGCACAGTAGTGGAACATATAATGCTGAATTATGTTATGATAAAAAATTGGAGTTGAAAAGGATAAGCGAGACAATCACTTATTATTAACAATGTAACACAATAATAGAACATATAACTCTGGATGTTATCATGGGAATTGGATGAATGTAAGGTATTCGTTTGTAATCAAAATTTTGCAAATATGGAGAACATATAAAGTTGGATGCTGTTATGATAAAGAGATTGGAGTTGAAGAGGATGAACATAAGGCATTTATTTTATGCTCTTATGGAATGCCCTTAAGATTTAAATAAAACACCCTGATATTCATCGTTATAAGAATTCGGATTAAAGGTTAGGGTTATTTAGTAATTGCATTTAAGATTGTGGTTATTTTAGAAGATAGATGGGAGTTGGATTTTTTTTTCTAATTATGCGATCATGTTTCAATGTATATAGTACATTATTTTACTGTGTAATAAAGGTTAAATTCGTCAATTTTATTGGTCAATATATAGATCACAGAATAAATAATATTTTAAAAAACTCTGAATCACAAACATATCGTTCATACATAATTTTTTTTTTCCTTCTCCCTCCGCTATCCTGAAGGTCCTTAGACACCTTTAGGATCTGTCACATCTCTTTAAAGGCCAGAGTTATCATTTAGCGAAAATTGTCAGACGGCGTGTGGCCCCTATGTTCGTATATATACAGTTTTGATAGTATATATATTTTTTATTAATCAACTATATATTACAGCTATTTATCTTAAGGATGTTCTCAATCGCCAACCCAATAACTGTCTTTTATAAAATTTAAAAAATCTACATTTCGCGTAATAAATTTTTCAACAAATCATTAATGGCAATAGTTTAAATATTCTGATCACTTACAAATCTCATTGAGGTTGCTTGAGAACGCTCTAAGTCTTACGTTCATACAATTCTTCATCATAACAGCATCTAGCGTGCCTGATCTTTGATAATAGACGATTGCTTTATGTTCATCCTTTTCAACTCCAATTTCTTCATCATAGCAGTATCCAATGTTATATATTCCATTGGCATGATCCATCTCTGTTGAATTTTGATAATAAGCGATTATATTATGTTTCATCATTTTTAACTCCAATTCCTTCTTCATAACAACATCCAATGTTATATATTTCACTAGCGTGACCCATTTCTGCGGGTTTTTGATAACAAGCGATTGCCTTATGTTCATCGTTTTAACACCAATTCCTTCATCATAACAACATTCAGTTCCATTAGGGTGCCCCATCTCTGCCGATTTTTGACAATAAGCAATTGCCTTTTGTACTCCAATTCTTTTTTCATAACAAAATCCAACTCATGTTCATCGTTTTCTAATGTTATATGTTTCGGTAGCATGCCCATCTCTGTCTTACGTTCACCTATTTCAACTCCAATCCCATTTTGGTAGCATTCAACATTGAATGATCCACTGGCGTCAGTGTGTGAAACTTCTCTTTAAGATTATTCTTGTCGCATACTGCACATGGTCCTGTGTTTTTACGTGATCTAACTATTAGAATCGTTACTAACAAAAGTTTGGGATCACAAAAAAAGAGGTTGGGATCATAAAAACCAGAGTCTTGCTGAATATAAATATAAAATTTCTAAGCTTAATATAATTTATAAGAGTTATGTACTTGAGTTCAACCATCCATGCTAATTAACTACAAATTTGTGAAAGGGACTAGATAATACTGTTTAAAGATGTTATCGCAATGCCGTAATTAGAATGAATTACAGCAAAAAATGCCATAATTGTGACCAATTATGGCATTGTGAAAACATCTCTAATACTGATAATACCCTATAAAAGTCCAAAATTTGAACATTTAAATGAATAGCTATTAAGTTACATTGACATTATAATATTTATGTTATCTATTAAAAGATCATTCTAGCTTTTATTGGAAAAAAATAATTTGTTTTACCATTTTTACTTTTTTGAACATTTAGGTTTATAATGCCTGTACTCGCCACAATTTCCACATTGATTTCGACGTTTGGCTGGCTTTAATTCTTCTGATCGCTTGATTCGTTTAGAACTTTTTGGACATCCTTTTGACTTATGTTTTTTGGGGTTTTGAAGAGGTATATTAGCTAATGAATTACTTTCTTCGCATTCTTCATCATCATCTAAGCTTTTACTATCTAAGCTATTACTACATGTCTCATCATTATCATCATTGGCTGGGCTATTTACTAACTCATTTTCCTGTATCTCAGTTAATAAATTTTGTAATTTTTCAAGAACATCTTGTCTATGAAATTGAACTGCTTTTTGTATAATATTTCGAGCAATTCCCTATAATTCCCCATATAACTTTCGTTCATTAATATTTTCCTTTCTTTTATCCCGAAGATCAGTCATAGGTGTAAACAATCTATTTATATTAGACCTTGCGAATTTCATAAATTGATCTTAAGAATAATTCTTACTAAATCATGCAGCAACACAATAAGGTTCTTCTTGTAAATCACTATATATGTTCTTGTACCACCTTTTATGAATATATGTAATATGGAATACAGCTATATGACTACATAACATCACTTGAAAAAAGTGCCAGCAAACTATCCCACAGTTTACAAGCCCCAAACAAGAGCATACATAAGTCTTATCAGAGAGAAGAATAATGAAATAACAGAATGTCAAAGCTGTAATTACATGAATGGCCCAGATTTCCTCTATTTCGTTAATGTCTATATTTTCTAATATATAGTTAATGGAAATCTGCATAATATCTTCGTTATCTTCAACAAACAAGGTATTATCTGACTCAGGCTAAATATCATAATAAGATTTGTAAGTCTATTATCATTTTGCAAAACTCTAAAAAAACACTATACTGCATACCTCCTGATATTTAATCATTTCATCTTTTGTAATAGCAGACACATGATAATTTATACAACTTTTAATTTCAGTGCGTTGAATTTTTTGTATTTCAGGTGTAATAAACAGGCTCAAAGCCTTATCAAGTTCAGGAAATAATGCTTGTGGCAATGTAGTAGTAGATGGTATTAATGGAATTTGTGTTTTCCAATAAGCATATTTTGCTTTTTTACTTTCTTCTTCTATACTTGCATCCAAAGCTTCGCCAAGTTCAAGAAGGCTAATGTTAGAGTTTAAAACTAGCCTTTTAACTTAAGCATTGTAACTCTCAACACAGGATGTTGTTTGTATGCCAGCAGTGAAGACCTTTGCTATGTACACACGTGCCTATAACCTTTTTGAAGAATATAATGTTTGCAAATACTTTACTACCCTAGGCTCGTTATATTTCTCAATTAATTGTAACTATCTTCATTCAAAAATTTCTGGAACAAGTGAATTTCTAGTTGTGTAAAAATTTTTAATAAACTCCTGATACTGTTGACCCAACTTAGCCTTGAGGTTTCAAGGAAGATTTTGTAAAATATGGAAAATGCAATGCATAGCATATGATTGCTTGTACTCTTCAGATATTGCAAGGTCCAAAGCTGGATTAGCATCAGTCATAATAACAGTGGGTATGCAGCCATCTGTAGCTTGTTTTGTCTGACGTAAAACCCACCGATAAGAATCTGCAGACTTATCGTTCATAAGCGCACATCCAACTAGTCGGGAAGACCCATGATTATCGACACATAAAAAAAGTGAGAGGGTCATGTCATATTTGTTCGTTTTTGCAGTATTATTATTTAGTATAATTTCACTATATTCTATCTATAAGATAATCTGATCGGGAGACATCCAAAATAGTTTCTGAAGGCTATGTGATTCTCAGTCCCATTCAATTGCGACATACCATCGGGGGTCATCATTTTTTTTTTTGACCAATTCTTCGTACAATGATGCAGCATCATTTAATATTTCCTTTCGCTTCTCACTATAATATTTTGCTGTTGCTTTATGAATTTCTGAAAGATAAATTTTGTGATCAGGAAATTCTCTCTGTAAAGCTCTCTGAATTTGTAGCGGCTTTAACTTAATGGCACTCACATAAAATTCTATCCGCTCATGCATTTCTTGAGTAAGTTCACTATCATTAAAAAATTTTGTTCTATAAGGAGACAGGCTATGATTATGATCATTGTTTAAAGTAGTAAGATAAACATTTCCATTAGGATTGTTCTTCTGTGGTTGTGACAAATTTACATGCCATGGACATTTGATATATTTTGTACTAGTTTCTTTAGTCAATTGTATATTTCTAGGTTTGTATTCATCTCTATGCTCACACAACATTGTTCTTTTTCGTATAGTTCTATTAGAAGCTTTCTCAATGCATCCTTTCCTTAACTTAAACCCTTCATGTTGAGAATATAGAGTTAATGTATCAACTGCTTCTTCCCAATTTTGAAACACCCTTCCTTCATATAGTCTTTCTTTAGAACAGCCCAATCTGACATCCTTATTGTCTTGAACAGCAATTTCATAATTGCATGTTGGTTTATTAAACTCAAGATCACATATCGGCTCACCAGGCTCAAGGTCATGTGTATTCTCATTATGCATCATCTATTTTGGATTAAGATTATAGCGAAGAATATGTAAATAGAAAATAAATTCAACATACAGCAGAGACAGTGCCTAATCCAAAGTGAATTCCTCTTGCCTATGAACAATCACAAATTAAATTATTTATGCTGGATTCAATTGTGATAGATATAATCCCTCATCAGTTTTAATATATGTGCAACATTAATGGTCTCTGCTGTGAATTTAACAACTATTATTACATTCGGTTTAACTTAGAAGGTCTAAACATTACCTTCTTTGCTTATGTATTTTGCTTTAAAACCCACGTTGTTTGTTACTATTAGCTATACTTTGCTAGGTAGTTTTCTGTTACTGCTTTTTTGTTATTACTGATTTTTGTTGCTGTATTGCTTTATTGTAAAAAGGCACCTTATTGCTAGCTTATTTCTGTTGCTAGAATCGTAGGAAGACAAATTATTTCATTCCAAAGTAATGTTACTAAGAATGTTGTAAGTGTATTTATTAACACTTTTCCTTCATTAAGGCCAAATTGATTTACTGAAATTCAAAGAAGCTAAAGGTAGTATTTATAAAGATTCTCTATTATACCTTTTATTCGTTTGTTATTCACTATGTATAAGGTTTGTCTTTACTAAATAAGAAAGCATAAAAAGATAAAAGCATAAAAAATACTGGTTTTGAAATGGGATCGGATCGTCTTTACTAAATAAAAACATACAGATAAGAATCATGATAAAAAATATATTTATATATGTACAGTACATACATAAAAAAAAACTAAAAAACGAATTTGTTGATGCATAAGATTTATGCGAAACTTGTAAAATTCTGCAGGCATACATCGGCTTATTGCAAAAAATAAATTGAGTTCCGGCAATCATATGAAATCCGAGGGGTGCATAATCATGCAGGTGCATGAAAACCATTTTTCCTTCTAATTAAATCAATAATATGATATACCTATAAATGTAATTTTGGATACTTGAATTCTGAATAGTTTTGAAAAATAGTAATAAATTGTTGGACTCAATTTATTATTAAAATCCAAATAGAATAAATTATATTTGTTATAAGTATTTTAAATATATTTGAAATATTGTAAAATATTTTAAATTAATTTAAAATTTTGTAAATAATTTCAATATAATTAAATAAATTTCGAAGCTATGCAAAAATTTTTAAAATAATTAATAAATAAAATATCTATAAAATAATTTAGCAAATTTCACATATATTCGAATTATTTCAATATAATTCAAAAAATTGCACATTCACAATATAGTAAAAAATTGAAAATTTTTCTAATTTCTATAAAAATTTTAATAATTACCTCAAAATTTTTTAAATTATTATTATTAAATTCTTTATTTTAACTCTTAATATATATATTATTTCAGTCTTTATAAACTTTTAATAATTTTTTGTTTAATGTTTTATTATCAATTAGGTTATTCAAAACAAATATCATAACCTTCATAAGACTATAATATTCATTAGCTATAAATCTAGCAATTGATTAAATTTTATGCTTAAATATTTTAAGTTCTGGGTATCTTGAAATATTTGCTAATCTTTTATCTATTTTATTCATTATTAAAGTACTATAAAGATTTTTCAAAAAATTGCAAGTAAATATGATTTGATAATTAAATAATTCCAAATCGAAATAATGCATTCTATTAATTACTGTAGCTTTATATACATTAATATTACTAAAATTAATAAATAAATTAAATTATTTATTAGTATTTAATAATATAATAAAATTTAAAATAATTTGCAAAGTTTCAAAATATTGTGAAAATTTTAAAAATAATTGCAATGCTTTAAAAATATTTACAAATATTTAAAATATTATAAATTTATTTAAATCTATTTACATATTTTTGTATATATTTGCAATATATTATAATTTGGTATTTTTAAATTCTTTTTTAATATTTTGAATTATTTTAAAATGTTTTAGGTCAGTATATATGAAACATAAAGGCTCCAATAAGTTTTTTGTCAAGAATAAAGTAGTTCTAAAAATACTGACCAGCATCAAAAACTTTTATTAGCAAAATTATAGATGTGAAATATTTCAAAAGATTTTGCATAGTGTAAAAATTTCGAAATAATGTAAAAGAAATTTGAAATTTTTGCAAATTGTAAAATATTTTAAAATATTGTGAAATAAATTTTGAAATTATTGCACTATAAAAAAATTTTTACAAGATTGCAAAAAAAATTTTCAAAATTATTGCATAGCGAAAATATTTTGAAATATAATGAAAAAATTATTTAAACTGTGAAAAACAAAATAATGAAAAATAAATTGAAATTATTTTGAAGATTGCAAAAATATTTTGAAATAATTTAAAATATTTCAAAGTTTATTAAAAAAAAAAATAATAATAAAATTAATATTTAATCATAATATAGTAAAATTAATTTTAAATAAAATTTTGACTAATAGCATAAAGTTTATTAATATAAATTATTTAATAGAGTAAATCTCTAAGTAGATAATAATATAGTATATTTATTTTAAATAATCTTTATCATCACTATATACATATGCAATAATATTATAATATGTTGAAATGATTCAAAATATTACGAAAATTTTTTAAAAATTGTGAATAAGAAATAAATGAAAAAAAATAAAGAAAATAAATCAAAAATTGACAAACTTTCAAAAAGTTCACATACTTGCAAAAATTTTTAAATAAAATTAAACTATATTAACATGCAAGAGCTCTACATTAAAGTTTATTTAGATTGTAAAAAATGTATTTAAATTTGATGAAATAACTACTAAAATTTCTAGAATATCTTGATAAATTTTTAATATATTCATATACTTTTGAAATATTTTGAAAATCTTAACTTAATGATGATTTAAAAATGCTTCGAAATATTGTAAATTAATTTAAAGTACTAAAAAATATTGCTAAATTCTATATTTGAAATCTTTTGCATAGTTTGCTACTTATTAATTTAATAAAATACTATTGTTAAACAATAAATTAGCTATAATTATTCATCATATTATAATTTCTTAATTAAATAAATATTTGTATTAAATAATTGATTGCATAAAAATGTACATTAAAAATTAAAGCCATATTTAAAAACAATAAATGATACAAGTATGCATATAATCAAAAAAAATATTCTAAATATAGTTAAAAGTTTACAACAAGATTAAATTATTTTAAAGTATATTAAAAATACTAAAAATAGTAAAATTATTAAAATTTACATTAATATTCAAATAAAAGTGAAACTATTCAAAATAATTAGAAGATAAAAATTTTGAGAATATTAAAAGTATTTAATGAAATGTGAAATAATTCAAATACTTTTGAATTAATTTAAATTATATAAAAAAGAAAATAAAATATTAAATATTAACAAATATATTAAAAATACTTTGAAATAATTAAAGCATGCAAATTAAAATTAATAAAAATCAAATTTTGATTACATTAAAACAGTTTAAAGTAATGCAAATTTATTTAAATATATAGAATTATTTTAATAATAAATAAAATATGCATATTAATTTATAATTATTTAAGAATATTAAAATTGCTTCGATACAATTAAAGCATATAAAATATAAATAGAAGAAAAAATTCCTTTACAATTCTACATTGACTTCAAAAATAAATTTTTACTTCTAAAATTTAATACTTCTAAAATTTTCAAGAATTTACTAATCATTAAAATATTCTAAAAATTTTACAAATATCTGCATATTTCTTCAGAATAATAACTTTATTTTTTCTATAACTTTTATTTTTATTATTATCTTTTTTCATTATTTTATTTTTTATTTTTTTTTTTTTTTTCTTTTAACTTTTTATTTTTCTTATTTCTTTTATTATATTTTTATATTTTATTTTTTAATATTTTTAATACACTTTAAAACTTTTTAAAAACTTTCAAAATATTGCACAAATTATTAAGATGCCTAAAATTGCCAAGAAACAATTGAAATCCAAACAAGTTTTTGCCAGATTGATTGTAGGATCATTATTGCAAACAACTGAAGAAGTATCTGCAGTAAGAAGTGATGTTTCAACATTTGTTAAAAGAGCAGTTAAAACTTTTGAGAATATTGAAGCAGCTAGTTCTGCTAAAGATTTTCTAGAAAATTTGAAAGTATTGCATATCCTCCTGAAGATTATAAAATTTCTGTGAATATAACTTTTATATTTAATTTATATAAATAACTTCAATGTTTTTATTTGTTCTTTTATATAATTCAAAAAATCTTCTTTCAAAAATTTTTGATAAGCTTACTGAATTATCTGAAAAAGTTGATAAAATCAAAAGACATCTAAACGAATTAGATGAAAAATTAATAAATCATATAATTTGTCACAAGAATTAGATTTTATTAAAGTATTTGAAATAATTTTTATAATCTTTAAAAATATTTGCAATTATTTAAAATAATAATATATTTTTTTCTTAAAATTGGGTAACAAGAAGTCCACTTGGGAAGACCTGAGTAGAGAGGTAGCTGGATCTTCGACAGCCCTACTGTAAAAGCTAGCCTGGCAAAACAGATACTCAGATCTAGTACCTGGTCCTAGTAGCTGAACAGGCAAGAAACTTTAGGTTAGAAGTCTCAGAGGTACCACCAACCAGGCTGCTAGAATGAACTGGAGGAAAAGAATATCAGGCCGACCTGATATATCAATGGACTAGTCGTAGTTCTATATAGGCTATCTGGATTGGGAGTTTGGTAAAAGGCAGGAGAAAAGGCAGGAGTATACTAAAGTACCAGGGTTATGCTGTGAAATAGATGCTGAGGTCTAAGTGAACTCTACAAAGGCATAGTGGTTTAATGGTTAGCCCTGACTGCAAGTGTTGGTTCTGCCATAGTGATACCTAGGTCAGCTGTAAAAAT